TAAGATGAATTTAATCATGAGGAAACATCACACACTCCCAGAGGGGGAACGTCCTGTGAACTAACTGCCCAGGTCAGGAGAGACAGAGACTCATCTGAGATGGAAGGAGACAAGCGAGCTAAGTGTAGCATGGGATCCCGACCAGCAAGGGGTGCAAACCGAACCATGGTCAGTGTGAACAAGGCTGTAAACTGGCTCTGTCCTCAGGTTCTTTTCCTGACTGTGATCATTGCTGGCTGCCTATAGAAGGTGTTAATCTGCGGAGGGGTGAAGGGCATATTGGAACTCTACTGCTTCTGCAACTTTGTATAAGTCTAAAATTATTCCCAAATGAAAAGTGGAAAGATGAAAGTAGATGCAGAACTGCCAGGCATGGTAAGTACTGTACAGGGCCGGGGGGAGCAGGACAGAAGGGCCGCAGACCACCCTGCCGGACTGCTGTGAGGAAGAGGACAAGGAGGTAGGCAGGAGAGGGTGGGTTCACCTCTAGGGCTGCACAGGGATAATCATGGCCAGAGCTGGTGGACGGCAGCAAAGCCAGGAGGACACTGATTTTTTTTTTTCCAGTACTGGGGTTTGAACCCAAGGCCTTTGCACTGACTGCATCTCCAGCTCTTGTCTTTTAATTTTTTATTTTGAGACAGGGTCTCACTAAGTCACTAAGTTGCCTGAACTTGCAACCCTCCTGCCTCAGCCTCCCAGAGTGCTGGGATGACAGGAGTGCACCCCCCACCTGCCTAAGATGCTGACAGTGAAGGGCCTCACAGGCTGTAAGGAAAGCCTGGACGAGACTCCGAGCGCACTGGAAGCCACAGAAAGTTTAGGGCTGTTGTGTACATTTCTTTCAAGATGCTCTGACAGCAAGAGAAACCGCCAGCAGTGTGAAGAGACAACCCACAATGTGGGAAAAAATTTTCACCTGCTGTTCCTCAGACAAAGGTCTACTATCTCGAATCTATAAAGAACCTAAAAAGATCAGACCTCCCAAATTTAAAGACCCAGGGCCTGAGATTTAGCTCAGTGGTTTCACCGCCTGCTGTGCAGGCACAAGGACTCAAGTTCGATCCCCGATACCAAAAAAAAACAACAAATGTAAAGACCCAATCCAAAAATGAACATCTGAAATGAACAGACATTTCTCAGACAAAGAAGTAGAAATGGCAAATAAACATATGAAAAAATGTTCAACATCACTGGTCATTTGTGAGATGCAAATAAAAACAATGCTGAGATTCCACCTCACTCCAGAAAGAATGGCTGCTGTCATGAAATCAACCAATAACAATTGCTGGCGGGGCTGTGGGGAAAGAGAATCCCTGCTCCACTGCTGATGGGAGTGTAGACTGGTGCAAGCACTGTGGAAATCAGTATGGAGATACCTCAAAGAACTAGGACTGGAAGTCCCATTTGACCCCGCTATTCCCCTGCTGGGTATCTTCCCAAGAGAATTAAAAGAATCATACCACTGTGATATATGTGCACCCATGTTCATAGCAGCACAGTTTGTAATAGCTAAAATTTGGAAGCAGCCCAATTGCCCATCAACTGGAGACTGGATAAAGAAAATGTGGGGTTTTTTTATAAAATGGAGTACTACTCAGCCATAAAGAACGAGAAACTAGAGACATTTATAGCTAAATGGATGCACATTGAGGCGATACTCTTAAGTGAAATAAATAGGACACACATGTGTAAATACCGAATAGTTTCTCTAGTGTGAGAAACTGAAAGTGTAAATTAGGACTAAAAGGTATAATAGATAATGTGAAATAGGAAGAAAAGGGGCAAAGGGGAAGGGGAATTGGGAGGGGTTAAGGGAAAGGAAAGAAGGGAATGAAGGAAAAGGAATAAATATGAGAACAGGAAAAAATGGAAACAAAGTCTTTGTAAATAGGGAGGGATGGTGGGTTTGAGGGAGACCAGGGGAATGGGGAAAAAATAAGAACCAAGAGAGATTATGTAAAGGTGCAAATTTCCAATGATGAATGTCATTATATTGTATACCTAAAATGTACCAATAAAATAATATTTAAAAAAGAAAAAATGCTCAGGATAGCTTAAAATTACATCTCATAATGGGCTGTGTTAATGGATAGGATGCTGGCCTGTCCAGAGGGGCGACGCCATGGAGACAGAGGGTGTGGCCGGGTCAGGGAGCTCGGGTGAGAACTTGTTCTGGACCCAGGCACAGGGGTGGTTGCATGGTGCCCTGCATGTGCCGTACTAAGTGCTGCCGAACCGTACACGTTATGGTGGTTAAGGTGGGAATTCGAGGTTAGAGGTATTTTATGACATTTTTTGAAAACTGCCTAAGAAACAGCTGCCTGAGGAGTGACAAAAGCCAAGTCCCTCCACCTCTCTGAACCTCGGTCTCCTTATCTGCAGCGTAGGGGTGTCGATAGACCCCAGGTCATGTGACACACTGTGCCTGTCTGTCTCGGGGAATGGCCAGGCCAAGGGAGTGCTTCGGAGACACCACCCCCCTGGGGCTTCTGGAGGGGTCTGCCCTGCGGTCACAGCCCCCCTCCAGGACAGGTGCCTGTGGCCGTGGGCATCATGATGAGGCTCTGCAGACAACCTCAGCCACTCATCTTCGGCAGGTGTCAGTTCCTCTCACCGCCACAGGCCACCTCCATCTGGCGTTGGCCTGAGTGGCCTGTCCCTGGTGTTCTGATTCTGGAGAACACATCGGGTGTCTGCAGATCATATTTTCAGCTCTGGGAGCCTGGTCTGAGAGATTGGGCACTCTAGATTAAATTCTGCAGGTAATTTGAATGACACTATCTAATTTCAAATGTCCCTGCTCTTAGGAGTGCAAAAGCAGCATAATTTCTAATTAGTGGGTAAACAGTAAATAATGAATGGCAGTAAGTGGACACCACTGTTAATTAAAAAACCATGCTTGATAAAAATCAATTTGTTCCTTGCATTTTAACTGAGTCTATCAGGTCCCTGCAAAAAGTTGTACATCCCAGCCACAATACCATCTGCCTCTGGTTGTTGATCTTGTTAAGACTTTTCTGGGGGGGTGGGGAGAGAAAATGGGAGTGAAAAAAAGAAAAGAAAATCAAAGTCTGCTCCAAAAGCAGCAGTTGAACAAATGTCACGGAATCATTTAAAATTGGCTGAGTTTATTTTTACAACCTTGAAGCTCAGGTTCTCGAGTGGCCAAGAGGCAGTTGTGGTGTTTTTACTGACAAGGTCCAAGGCTGTTTGTGTGTGCCGAAGACAGTGGGATGGAACGTATCCCAGACTCCTAACATAACTAAGCCCTCATTTCTCACAGAAAGACAAAATGAACTAAAACACAGTTAGTGCGAACATAGTATCTGAGGGTTCGAGACGAAATGCGGCCTCTCCGCCTTTTCTCCTCAGTGCCTTCGGCGGGGAGCAGGAGAAAAAGGGTTTGTTTTCTTTTGAATAGAAAACATTTTCTCACGAAGCTGAGCTTTGTGGAAACAATAAGAAAATAATTTTCCAGGCCTATTTGCTATTTCACTCTGTAATGTAAGCTTGATTTTCCTACAGGCCAAATAAGGCTGACCCCTTCTGATCCTTTTCTTCACTCTGCTTCTATCCACTCTCCAAATCAACACTTTCGGACAGATTTCATTGACACTGGTGATGTTCAAATTAACCTACAGAATTGAATCCAGGGGACCCAGTGTCTTCCGGTGAAGTTGGCTGTGGAGGCACCAAAGCGCGGCGCTGATGCTGCACCTGTCTCTCCAGCTGGGGGTGGGGGCACTGGGATGGCCCAATATGGATGTGCCCACCCAGCATCACGCCCTGGCTCGGGTACCTTTGGACATCTAGCCCGTGCCACGTTCATGCAGAATAACCCAGCCCATCCCCTTTAAGTCTTGGAGCGGCCCAGGTGACAACACGGGCATTCAGGGGCACCCCAGCCCCAGCTGGATGTTTGGTTTCCTTTCTCTTATTTGGTTCATTGACTGCAACAGGTTGGTTGGCCAAGAACGAGACAGGACCCAGTGCCAACCTGGCGTCTGCACTCATCTGCTCATCACAAACTCAGCCAAACTGGTAGCACCCTGCAGTCTGGGTGTCCAAATCAGTCCCTTGTGCCCTCACTGGGAACGAAACACAAGCAACTGGCTTCTGACAACCAAAGCTTTAGACCTATGAGCCACACTCAGGGCTCACAAACCCTGGTGAAGTTGAGCTCATCTTTTCTCTGCCCAGAGGAGGAAGAGGACACTCACCCCTGGCCCTCGGGGTTTCGGCAGACATGAGACACAACCATGTATAAAAATTCACAGAGCAAGCCAAGCATGGTGGCACATGCCTGTAATCCCAGCACTCGGCAGGCCAAGGCAGGAGGATCACTGTGAGTTCGAGGCCAGCATGAGCTACACAGTGAGCCCCTCTCTCTCAAAAAAAAAAAATGCAGTTAGCTCTGGTTTCATCCATGACTCTCCTGCCTTCTCAGCTCCCCACTGGGGACCCCATGGCGTTGGATGTCGCTGAGGAATCTGCTCTATCTCATCTCCTGGGAGGCCACTGAGACAGTTTGGGGTCAATATGTGCAATTAGACCGCCCTGAGAAGGCAGTGTGGGACCCCAGCCTCTCCAGGACTCCACATGGGAAGGTGTGAATGGACACCAGGGAAGGGCCAGACGGTACTCCTCCACCGAGCCTACAGCCCCTCCCAGGCCCTGGCTGCCTGAGTCTTTGTGGCCTGTCTGGGGAGGAGCTGGGGTCCTCAGACCAGAGTGGCCCCTGTCCAGGAGTGGAGGAGCCAGGAGCACCACCCAACAGGGCACAGCTGCAGCAGCAATGCTATGAAAGGGCTCAGCACCTAGGAGTCTGGCATCCCAGCCTGGCACCTGGGCAGGCCTCCCTCGAGGCTTTCTTCCCCCAGGGAGTCACGTCTGGGAACCCTGCTACCTATCAAACTGTGCCGGGCTCAGAGGGACAGCAGTGGGGTGGGGTGTACCTCAGGGGTGTGGCTCTCTGACATCCTCTGTCTGGTTTGCAGGTAGGGCCATGGGGAGCAGCCACCTGCGCTGGGAGCCCCACTGCCAGCAGCCAGTATCTGAGGGCACGCCTGTCACTGCCGTCCTGCCCCCGCGCCTTGATGGGCCTTGGATCTCCACTGGGTAAGACCCCCATGGCCCCTGACAATGGGCCTAAGTTGGGAGACATTTCCCTCTGTTAGCCTCAGTCACCACATCTGCGAAGTGGGCCCAATTTCCTGGGTTCCTGAGAGGCCACCAGCTGTCAAACACATGGTTCCTCTCACTTTCCCTCTCTAGAGGAGTGGGACCATGCCTCAGCCGACCATAGCAAGGACAAGTGGGGTCAGCAGAGGGCCAGACGATAAATACACAACCACAGAAATAAATACTATACACTTGATAATGTGCTGAGCTCTGTAATGAAGGAAATAAAACTGAAGGTAATAATAGCAAATGACCTAGAGAGGACGTGGTCAGGACCAGCTTCTTGGAAGTGGTGACATTCAGCTGGGAAACTAAAATGAGTCTGCCACCCCCGAGAGCCAGGGGAAGAGCCAGGTGAAGGACACAGCTGGGGCAAAGGCCCTGAGGCAGGAAGTAGCAGGCCAGAGCTAGGCTGGGTGACCCTGCCCAGTTCTCTTTCAACCTGACCTGCTTACACAGCACTTGAGAGGCAGTGGCCCTCTTCTGCATGCACAAAGCCCACGGCAGCCAGCTGAGAACCTCCCCTGCCAGGTCACCTGCACTTCTGCCCCTCCTGACCTCCTCCTCCTTGCCCAGACCCATCTGGGGTCAACGACTGGACTCTCCATGTCCTCCGCATGCCTGCTGAGCTCATGGGGAAACCCCACTGCCAAACATCTGCTAATGCTAGCACTCTGGGTGGAGGAGAGGACAGGGGTCCCACAAAGCCACTTGGAACACAGCCAGGCTCTGCAGGCCACAGGCCCTTCCACAGTCCAGGTGGGGTCCCGGCACCTGGGGCCAGCATCGCTCTGAAGCAGAACTGGGGTTCGGGATGGGGACCTGGTGCAGCCTGCTCCCACCCCCAGGCCACCACATCCTGGGGCAGTTCTTCTAAGAAGTTTCTTCCAGAACATTCTTCCTAGAAAGTTGCCCACTATGTTCTCCAGACAGGCCTGCAGGCTCCTGGGAGGGGTACAGAAAAGGGTCCAGGGCCTGGGTCCCCAATATGTCCAGTGTGACCTGCTACACCCTTGAGCAAAGCTTGCTGCTCTCTAGGCCTTGCCAGAAGCCATCAGGGGAGTCTGAAGTACTGAGGGGTTGCTAAATTGCCCAGGCTGGGCTTGAACTTGTGAACCTCCTGCTTCAGCCTCCCAGAGTGCTGGGATTACAGGCACGCATCAACACACTGAGCTTCCATTCCCTGTTTTTAAACACCACCCGTTCTGGTATTTGCGCACTGTTTTTCTTTAAACTTGCTTTTATTTACTTAAACATCTTCATTCATCTTTACAGCTTTATTGAGGTATAATTGGCATGCAGTAAACTGCACCATCTACACTGTAATATAATTATTTTTAAAGGAAGCATAATATCACCCTGGATCCGGAGAACAGAGCCACTTGCCATAAATAAGAAGTAACTGTAAAAAGAAACTCAATGAAACAAAGCAGCATAATTAGAGTCTTTCTAAATTCATGGCCTACCTAAGGCTCCAAGTCTGTTCTCTCTGGGAGAAACAAAAAGAAGTTGGCTTTAAAGATGCATAAACTCTGAATACAGACTTTCTCCTTAACATTAGCCAAAAGAGTGAAAGGAAAGGAAACTGTTGCTGGCTGATAACATGTTCTCTCTACTCCAACAGCCTCAGTATTAAAAACACTAAGAAAATAGCAATGGGGTGGGTGGTTAGGGTAAAACTGTGAGTGGGGGTTTATCTACCATCTATCCCATCTGCACCCCTGATGGGTAAGTCTTAGGGCATAACTGTGACTCTAGAAATCATTTAGCTTCCCTGTCCCTTCCCCTGGCATTGTTTGCATTGCCAGCAGAATAGAGCCTAGGGGCCAAGGCCTACCCACCATCTGTTTTTATAAATAAAGTTTTATTGGCACATGATCAGGCTCATTCATTTACATGTCACCTGCGGCTGTTTTACCTCTTCAATTGCAACAAAAACCATCTGGCCCACAGCATCAAAAATATTTATTATCTGACCCCTTTGCAGAGAAAGCTTCCCAGAAAGCCCATCACAGGTGCCAGGTCAGAGAAGTTAACTTATCAAGAAGAGGGGGACAATGTCAGCAACCCTCTCCTGGGATTCACTCATTCCTTTATCATGTAGCAAGGACACAGGGGTTGACCGATGTATGCAGCTCTGTGCCAGGTGCCCGGAATCCGAGGGGGGAAAGCCAGGGTGCTGCCTCCCCAAGCTCACAGTGCAATGCCCGCCCATGTCGGCCAGTGCCTGGGGATTGAATGGAAGGAGAATTACTGTGCAGCTGACTGCCCAGCCAGGGCCACAGACTGAGCACACAGACCTGAGCTGAGAGGAGGCTGGAATGCAGGCTGGGGGTGGGGCTCCGGGCTGTGCTCACCGCTCTACCCACCTCCTGTCTCCTCTCTCCGGCAGCTGCGAAGTGCGCCCAGGACCAGAGTTCCTTACCCGCTCTTACACTTTCTACCCCAACCGCCTCTTCCGCGCCTACCAGTTCTACTACGGGGACCCCTCCTGCCGGGAGCCCACCCACTCGCTGCTCATCAAGGGCAAAGTCCGCCTGCGCCGGGCCTCCTGGGTCACGAGGGGTGCCACAGAGGCTGACTACCACCTGCACAAAGTGGGTATTGTCTTCCACAGCCACCGTGCCCTGCTTGAGGTCACTGAGCGTCTCAACCAGACTTGGGTGGACCAGGACTGTGCGGGGCGGCTTCCCCGGGCCTCAGCCTGGCTGCCCGGGGCACTGTACGAGCTGCTGAGCACCCGGGCCCCGGGGGACTGCATGGCGGCACTGGGCTTCAGCATGCACGAGCTCAGCCTGGTCCGAGTGCAGCGCCACCTGGAGCCACAGCCCGGGTCTGGGCCGCAGCTGGTCGAGGAGCTCTACCTGGGGGACATTCACACCAACAGGGCAGAGAGGCAGCACTACCGGCCCACAGGGTACCAGCACCCGCTGCAGAGCGCCCTGGTGAGTCTGGGGCCCTAGGAGGGAGTTCTGGGGCCCCGCCCAGCAGCCCTGTAAGATCTGGGTCCTGTCTGTCCTCCTCCCATCACCAGTCTGCTGCTGGCCTCAGAATATCTGCACGCCCGTTCCCCCTGCTCGAGGTGCCCCTCCCCAGGCTTTACCAGACTGGCTTGCTGCTGTTCTTGTTGCTGGCGCTGTTCCAAAGGAAACATCAGTTTGTTCCCCCACCCCCAGCCTCATGGCCCACATGTGGTCCCTGTGGGCCCTGCGGGACCTATTTCTGCCTCTGCTGAGCACAAGGCTTGGGCGGGTTTCCCCTTGCCTTGGTTCTCTGATCCAGTGTCCCTTTGGCACTAGACCCTTCACAAGGGCAGGGCCCTGGTACCACCCAGCACAGGGTCTGGTTCCTGGTCAGGGCCAAGAAATACTGGTGTATCAACAAGGAAGATGGCCTTTTGCCAGGCTCTGCTGGGGCTGCTGCACTCCCTGCAGGCCTCAGTGTGGTCCTCCCATGACACACAGCTCCCCATGAACCCACAACCATGTGAACGCAGGCTCACAGCACAGGGACTCAGGAGGGTGCAGGGCCAGGCGGGATGGGGTAACATTGCCCTCCGGGCAGGACGTACCAGGACGACTCTCTCAGCAAGGTCCACCCCAGGCCCTAAGGTGAACACCACAGAAGCCTTCGGCCCTATATTGTGAACTAAGCCATTGCAGATACATTGTCCTAACCTGGAGAAAATCCAGTGCCCTTTTGTGCCCAGTGAGCAAACAGGCAGAAGGAAAGTTACCTTTATGTGTATGATATCCAGGCACATAGGCAAGACAGGTGTGGGATTTGTGACCTTTCTGGAGTCCAAGCCAGAGAAGGCAACATCCCTGGAAGATCCTGCTGGAGGCTGGGGAGGCCTAAGCACCGTCCCTTCAGAAACTCGCTTTCAAAGGCATAAGATAAAAATCCACTGGCGTTAATGGAAAGCAATCCCATTAAAATACAGTAAGGTAGTTACTGAAGTCTTAGTGCATGAATGTGTGACACAGAAATACTAAGAAAGGGAATTCTTTTCTCACCCTCATGTCCAAGCAGTGATGAGTGTCAACAATGTCCCCCGTGTCTGAGACACTGATAATAGGGCACTGGGGACACTGTAGAGTCTCCGGATTCTACTGGGGTTTGCTGCCCACATTCTCAGTGAGGAGACCTTGGGCTCTAGTTAGTTAAAGGTTAATAGCCATGGAGTTGCGATAGGGCTCCGGCTCAGGAACTTCTATACAAGGCACCCAGCGCATATTTTTTGAAAGTGCAAACAAATAGAGGGACAGAGGAAGAGATGTGCATTGCCGTCCCGGTCCAGTGCCCTCTGAGCCCTTGGGGGTCTCAGCACACATGGAGCGCCCACTGCATCTGAGGCACACAAGGGGCAAGCCAGACAGGGAACCCTCTCACCCAGGAGCAGCCACTTGGCAGAGTCCCCTGGGGTGGACCACTGGGGATAGGACAGACCGCAAACCCACTGCCTTCCCCTCCACTCCTTCCCTCCCAGAAACCCCAGGTCTGTGTAGCAGAGAAGGTATATGACAAGGTTCTTCTAATCAGCCTCAAGCTTCTTTGAGTGACCTCAAAATCATTCCCTGTTCAGAAACCAATGTTCTGGGCTGCGGTGGCCTGAGTTTTATGTAGAGACAGAAGCGTCGGTGGTGAGCTGATTACCGGCCTTCACCTCCTCCTTTGGAGGGGACGCTGCTCGCCCGGAATGCAGAGGGCTTCGGGGCTGACGACTGCTGTCCCTGCTGTCCGTGCTGTGGCCTGCATGTGACTGGGAGGGGAGACACATAGAGATGTGTGCCACGCTGAGCAGTGCCAGATGTACGGACATTAAATTAAACGTCTGCTTACCAATCCCCCTCCTGAGGTGGGGGATAATTTCAGAGAAGGAAATTCAGCCGAGAAATCCCCAAATAACGAATTAGTTGTTACCTTATGCTCTCCAGAACCCAAGTCTTATGCACGGCCCAAACGAGATGGTAAACATGAACATTTTTAGAAGTTAATTTAAAACCAATTTGATCCCCACATTCACTGCCTGGATGTAGAATCCTAATCAATCAGCCAACACGTGACCTAGCTCTTCTGAGCCTGGTGTCACCTCTGGGGGTTAATTAGACACTGTTATGTGCCATTTGAGAAATAACTTTATATAACAGGCTTAAACCAGTAAGAGTTTGGCTTCCACATGAGTGTGAATTTGGCTGGCTGGAGGCCTTATTAACATTGCAACTCCAGACTTCTGCACAAGGGTGCCTGGGAGGCATTCGAAGGCAAGGGGCGCCTTGTTTCCCACCACCTTCAAAAGTTCCCAGCATGTACTCTCAGCTCTTTGGGAGGCTGAGGTAGGAGGATTGCAAATTCAAGGCCAGCCAGGGCAATTTAGTCTATCTCAAAATTGAAAGAGAGAGAGAGAGAGAGAGGGCTGGGGATAGTAGGGCATCTTTGGTTTGATCCCCAGTATTCCACCCCCACCCTCAAAAACATGTTCCTAAGAAGGAAATGCATTTCTTGCCTGTCCCCCTTCAAAACTTGCTGGTTTTGTTTATCCCTGCTGTGCCAAAAACCACTTCCCCCCATTTTCCACTAGCACCCAGACATCTCCTCCACACAGGTATCTGCGCAGGCAGCAGGGAAGCAGGCAGCTGGGGAGGCCACTCTGGAACTGCTCTGATGTGCTGCATTGTGTCCTGTCAATACGCATCAGTGCCACAACAGTGGGAACATGGGTCTAAATGCCTAAATTAGAGCAGACTCTCATCAGGCCAATGACTGAGCTTGCCTGCCTCCATCACAAACATTTTTGCAGCCATTTACTCGCATTTCAAAGTGCCTTCCAGCTCTCTGGGTCAGAGTCCCTCAAACCAAAAGTGATATAGACTCCTGTATTATGGAAATCAAGGAAAGCTTAGGTTCATCATAGAAATAAATAATAAGAGCTTCTAAAATATGGCAATCCAAAAAGAAAGACAGAAGGGAGAAAAACACCTTCCCTCAATCATCTAATATTTTCTTCCTAATCCAGAACTGTCCAACGCCACTTGTTTTGGGCATGAAACTAACCCAGCAACAATCTATGCAAGATCTTTTGAGTTTGTTTTCTTTCTTGCATGAAAATATTTATTGGAGCTGATTTTACAGCTGGACTCTCTAAATGCCCCCTTTCCCTCTGTCTGGACCCTGAGTTCCCCCCAGGAATGGCAAAGCAGGGGACTTTTGCTCATTCCCCAGTGGGCTTTGACAGATGCCTGCTTGAAGGCATCTTTATCTTTCAAAATGATGCTCTGGGCTTAATTTTGGGCAGCAGCTCCCTTTAAGGAAAGAAAAAAAAAAAAAGAAGAAGAAGAATAAGATGTCCCTATTGGTTTCTTTTTGGCCTCTACTAGTTTTTCACTGCAAAGTGCAGACTGACTACTCCCACACAATTTGATTTAACATCTGGTTCCTGTTGGCTGTTTTACAGTAAACCCACCTCTGGGGAATCTGGAAAGTGGGGTTAATTGAGGCCAAAGACCAAGTGAAACCAGATCAGGGCCTGGGGCAACAAAGGCTGCAAAGGTGCCTGAAAACTCAAGTGGAGCTGGTTTTCCAGTTATAAATAACACCAGAAGGGACATCTTTGAGCCATAGCTCTTACAACTTAAGTTACAATTTAACCCATTTCCTTAAGGCCACTTCAGACAATGGGTTCCAAAGGCCTGGATGTTTTGACTGCTTTAGATCTTCACTGCCACATTCAGTGGCCAAGGGGGTGGAGCAAAGGATGCTCACTTTCCAACCTGAGATCCTTAAAGACAAAAGCTTCCATTCTTAGCTGGGAATGGTGCTGTGTGTCTGTGACCCCAGCACTCTGGGAGACTGAGTCAGGAGGATCGCAAGTTTGAGCCCAACGTGGGCAATTTGGGACTTGGTGAGACCCTGACTCAAAATAAAAAATAAAAAGGGCTGGGAATATAGCTCAGTGTGAAGGCCCTGGGTTCAATCCCCAGTTGGAAAGAAGGACAGGAGGGGAGGAAGGAGAGAGGGAGTCAAAAAGAAAAAAAGAGGAAAGCAAAGCCCCCGTTCTGTAGGGGAACATAGCCGCTGGGAGGCTCCGGCAAGCGCACCCAGGCGGGGGGCTCCGCCGGGCTCCACCACTTCCATGTGGGACACCTTGTGGGCTCTCTGGATTTCAGCTTCTGGGCTATGGCTGTGCCAAGTCTCTCGATGAGATGCTTGGCACAGTTCTTGGAAGTGCCTCAGAGAGTGAGGGGTGTTAGCGATGAGCAGGGAAAAAAGATCTGCTCTAAGGTCCAGATGCGGGCCGGGCATGAGGAAGACAACACCCAAATCCTGAGGCACAAGGCCTACGTCCTTTCCGTTCGCTTCCCATTGGCTCACTCAACAAGCAGATGCTTGCTGCGAGCCAAGCGCTGTGCGAGGTGGCCAGGACGGAGGAGCCCAGAGAGGTCAGTGGGGCAGGGGTGGCAGGGAGTGGTGCGTCTGATGGGGCAACCCTCGAGGCGCTTCTGCGGCTTGCTGTGGGTCTTTCAGCAAAAGCCTGGGAGAGGAGTGGGAGCCGCCGGTCCTTCTGGCTGGGGCGTCCAGACAGGAGGGGCTGCATGTGCAAAGGCCCTGGGGAGACCACAGCCCTCTGAGATCCAGGGGAGCGGTGAGGCCGTCCTGAGTAGAGCCAGGAGGGCGGAAGACGGGTGGGCAGATGGCCGGGCTCGTCCGGGCGCGGAGCGGGGGGTGACCGCGTCTCCGTTTCTGCCCGCAGCACCACGCGCAGCCCTGCCCCGCCTGCGACCTGGTGGCGCGCGCTGACGAGCACCACCCGCCCGTGCTCCCGCGCGCGCCGCCGCTGCCGCTGCGCCTGGGCGGCCGCTGGGCCAGCGCGGGCTGCGAAGTGCACCCGGCCGTGCTCTTCCTCACGCGACTCTTCACCTTCCACGCCCGCGGCCGCTCGTGGGAGGGCCGATACCGCCACTTCTCCGACCCCGCCTGCCGCCGGCCCACCTTCACCGTGCGCGCGGCCGGCAGCTACTCGCGCGGCGCGCCCTCCTCCAGGGTGCGCGGCGCCACCGAGCTGGTGTTCGAGGTCACGCGGGCGCGCGTGACCCCCATGGACCGGGCCACGGCGGCCGCGCTCAGCGCCTCGGAGCCGAGCAGCTGCGGGGGCCCGGGGCCCTGGGCCGTGGGCGTGGAGCGCGACGTCACGGCCACCAACGGGTGCCTGGCGCTGGGCATCCGGCTGCCGCACGTGGAGTACGAGCTCTTCAAGGTGGAGCGCGACGCGCGTGGGCACAGCCTGCTCCTCATCGGACAGAGGCCCTCGGACGGCTCCAGCCCCGACACCCCCGAGAAGCGCCCCACGTCCTACCAGGCGCCGCTGCTGCTGTGCGGGGGTCACGGCCGAGGCCCCCCCAGGCCCCCTACCCGGCTCCCCGGCGGCGGGGGCCCGCGTGCCCGAGCTGGCCCCTTCCTGCTCCCGCTCCTCCTCCCGCTCCCGGGGCTGGCCTCCCTCGGGGGGCTGTGACAGCGGCCGGGCCCCCGCGCCCCTCCGCCGCCCCTGGGCGCCGCCTGTGTCGCGCGTGGCCCGCACCGGAGCTGCCTGCAGAGTCCGGCTGCTCCCGGACCCGCGGTGAAGGGCGCCCCTGTGTGAGTTTCCCAACCCCATTCCCGTTCTGGTTCTCCCCACCTCTTTGTTGGCGGACAGGTGCCAATCGAGGGCCACCCTGAGTGTCCCTTCCTTGCCCTTGGGATTGTGGATGGCAGCGGGAAAACCCGAGATTCTGCCCAGGGACCTGCCTGCTGCTCCGCCGAGCCTGCAGGTTGTACGGGTTAAAGTTTATTAACTCAGATTGAGCAATACAGACTCAAAGCGGGGCCATGAATTAAAGATGCAGCTTCAGGCTTTCAGCGCTCCTCAGCTTTCTGGTAAAGGCCTCGTCTCTTTGCGGGCACCTCGGCTTCCTGAGTTCTGACTGCTGGCATCTGCCTGTATCTGCCTGTGCTTCTGTGAGTCGACTTCAAGCTGTCAGCCCTGCGTGGGGATAAACCCAGTTCTCCAGGGCCAGTGTGCAGGAGACAGGGCCTGAGCTGGGGAGCGTGGCCTCTGAGGACCCCTTGCCCCCACAAAACCCGGCAAGCGCCTGGGCTGGCTGCCGGGGGCAGGTCTGTGGAGGGAAGGCTTTCCCGGCCTTCGCCTTCGGAAAGGAATGAACACCAAAGACAGCAGCAGCACCAGCATGCTCGGTAACGAGCCCTGTGCCCCGACCCCCTATTGTGCCGATTTCCTGTGCTGGCCTGAAAAGCGGGGTCTCCAGAGCTGCGTCTTGGGGGCCGCCCCACAGAGGTCAGGGACCCACCAGGCGGGAAGCTGCCTCGCCCTGCGGCCTCACTCACGCGTCCGTGTCCTCAGCTCTGAGGGTCTGTCACGGTGGGGACAGGCTGTGCCCCTCCGGCGACCCCGCCCTGTTCCCAGGACCACAAGCACCCTGGGAAATTAACTGGCAACGAGGTGGGCTCCAGGGTTTTCAGGACTGTGAGCCACTGAGTCACCCTCTCTCTGTTCCTCCCGAGCCCTATCGCGACTCTCTTCGAAGATCACGAAGAACAGACCTCCTTGAGGCTAATGTGGGGTTCAGTCAGCCCACTGAAATCCCTGGAACTTATTACCCATTCTTCTCTGGGGGAAAAACCCCCACTAAGTTAATATTCTCTGTAGGTCTCAGACAGCTGTGAGTGTTCCTGGCGTATTTACCAAAGTACAGGAAATAATTAGATTATTTATGGTCTTAACGCTGCACTCGGGTGGGGGAGCTCCTGGTGGGAAGGCGGTCTGTGTCAATGATATGTCTACGGCTGAGCAAGTCTTGTATCCAAGGCTTGAAGCAACCATGCCACCATTTAGCATCAAATTTGAATCTTTTGCTACAAGCACCCAATGATAAATGTAAACATACTGCATACCTAAAATGCACCAATAAAAGAATTTTTAAAAATTGAATCTCTTAATAAAGTTAAACAGCCTGAAAAATGTTCTTGCTGGTTATTAAAGTCAACCAAGGGGATTATGGTTCTAAAGAAAGGAAGTGCCTGCCAGAGGATGCGAAGGAGAATAAAACCAGTGGAGGTGGACTCTGGCTGTCTTCACTAGGCCTTCCCGCACTTCCCTGCAGTCTTCAGCTCCTCAGAGGTTTCCACTGTACTCAGACAAAAGCCACAGATCTGGCTCCCTGTCACCTGCACGGTTCATTGGTTCAGTATAGCCCCTCAATCCTTGTCCACCTGACCTTTTTGTTTCTTTTCTCTTTTTTTTGTACCAGGGATCGAACTCAGGACCTTGAGCTTCCAAGGCAGGTGTGGTGCCACTGAGCTAAATCCCCAGCCTCCTTTCTGTTTCTTGATCTGAGCTGTTGCTGCCTCTGGACCTTTGCACATGCCCTTGCCCCTGCCAAACATCTCCTTCCTTGGACCTTTCAATGCTTGGCTCTTTCTTTTCCCTCAACTCCCAAGCCAAATGTCACCTCCTCAAGGAGCCCTGCTGTTAGTAACCCCCCAAAGCAGCCCCATTTCCCCTTGTCCTTCTGCCTATCCCAATTGTGTCCTTTATATTCCATCTGTTCACTCTGAAATGGTCTTATTTATTCACATTTGCTCTCTGCCTCTTTTGCCTAGAAGGTAAGCTCACAAGCGAGCATGAGCCCCTCACAGCCATCTCTCCAGTGGGGTCAGAGGTGCCTGCGCCTGTAGAAAGAGCTGGGTGATCTGGGAAACCTGTGGTGACCCCAGGGCCCAGCTGTGTCTCTTGAGCAGGAGGACCCCAAGCTAAGTGAGGAAAGGGGCTGGCCTGAGGTCAGGATCCAAACCTGAGCAGTTGGAACCCAGAGCCCGAGACCTGGGCCTCTGTCTCCCAGGCCCGGGCGGAAGGAAAGGGTTCCATGCTGTATTTGGAGAGCAGTTTGGGGGCGCTCTGTGGGACCTGGCCGGAGCCCCTTCCCAGTAGGTGGAGTGCTAAGCAGAGTCCCTTCACGGCTGGAGGCTCCGTTCAGGCCCTCTGCCCCACCCCACCCGCCAGAGGCTCTGCCTTCCAGAAAAGCTTTCAGCCACAGAAAGCGAGCCCCAGGCCTGTCTCAAAGCAAAACACAATTAAGGTTCTCCACGGTTCACTCACGTTTGGGGAGGGGATGCTGTTGATAATTTCATAGTGCAGCTCTCGGGAGAGTAAATGAGCTTTGCTTTTAAATAAAAAATTAAAATTGTATACAGTTCTCAGAGGCCCATTAGCTAACAGATGCTGGTTATCAAAAGAAGTTATTTCTTTGCCTTTCTCTAGGCGACCGTGTTTAATCTCCCAGAGGTGACACGGCCGCTCCGTCCTCTCCCAGGAGCTGGTGACTCAGGCGTGGGCCCAGCGATGACGCAGTTGGGACCGAGTTAGGCCTGGGGCAGGGCCTTCGCAGCCGGTGTCCCGGGGGTGCAGCAGGAGGGCCTGGAGGGGCTGATGGCTGGTTCCCTTCAACCGATGCAGAAGGAGTAAATAACCTGTCCACACCCCCGAGACTCACCTTTGCAGCCCACGCCCTCCCCCACACCGATCCCCCCCAGCACCCTCGTCTCCTTCAGTATCCGAATCTGAAAAGAGGCTGCTTGCTCGGTACCCCTCCTCTAGAAGGATCTGACAGACCCTGTCCTGTCCCCCACTGGATGCTCCGCTGTGCACAGTGGCACTGGCACACAGCAAGAGGTGAACAAACACAGGCCAAGGGAAGCCACGCTGAGTCCTGGCTGGGGACCCTGAAGGGGACAACCCACAACCCAGTGCTGGCTTGGACTTTCAATGCTGCTGGCTTTTTTCTTCTGTTAAGAACTCAGACCTTGGGTTTGAGGGCCTGTTTTCTATTTACCTGCCTATTTCTAAAAAGGCATTGAGGACGATTTCCTGAATAAAGGGCCCCAGGGCCTGGCACAGGCTTCATAGAGTCTATCCCAGGCTTCTCATTGTACAAAGGCCTGGGAGACTGGGAGACCCTCAGCCCCACGTGGGATCAGGTCTCCATCCCAGCTTTACCTGGGGAAACGAGCTGAAACCTCACAGATCCTAGAGGACTGCCTTTAAATAGTCTCAGTAAGGATGGGCCTTTACGAAGTGCCACATCATTTATTTCTTAGGGCTCATTCACAACCCACTTCTCTTTGTTCTACATTTGATATTTTTTAATCACTCAGAAAAAAAAGTAACAAAATATAGTCACTCCGCTAAAATCAGCTGTGTGTTTAGTAAGCACTACATACATGTATTGAGCACCCATCAGATGTCAGGCTAAGGTAGGTGGGGGACACGTGCTTTCACCTGCTCTTCCGGTCCCAAGAAATTACGGGGAAAGAACTGAAAGACACAAAATCAGATGGTTAAACAGAAAAGAGAATGCAGCTAGCAAGATTCCTGAAGCTGGAAAATTGATGGCAATTTATTGAAAGTAGGTTGCAGCAAGTCCTCTCGTGCCACAGGTCCCTGCAAAGGCTTAGGAATTGGTAGCCCAGCCACTTCGGAAGGCAGGAGAGCAGTGGGGCTGGAAACAGGGTGTCTCTAGCTATTTCACAACTCTGTAAAAGCTCAAAGGAGTGCTAACTACCAGGTCTTCTCCCTAAGTCCTGTAAGGAACCAAAAGTTTAAATAAAGATTTTGAATTTGGCAATAGTCTAGGGCAAGATATCATGCTAAAATATAGATAGTAGAAAAACCAACAGCCAACATCATACTAAATGGTCAAAACCTAAAAATCTTCACGCTAAAATCAGGAACAAGGCAAGAATGTCCACTCCTGTTCAATATAGTTTTGGAAACATTAGCCATGGCAATTAGATAAGAGAAAGAAATAAAAGGAATAAAGATAGGAAAAGAAGAAGTTAAACTGTCATTATTTGCTGACAATATGAAACTCTATATTGAAGATCCAAAAAACTCCACCAAGAGACTTCTAGACTTAATTGACAGATACAGTAGAGTAGCTGGATACAAGGTAAACACTCAAAAATCAATAGCCTTCTTGTACACAAATAACAGTCTCACTGAGAGAGAAATTAGGGAAACAATTCCTTTCACAATAGCATCCAAAAAAAAAGAAATATCTAGGAATCAATCTAAGGAAGAGAGCAAAAGACCTCTACATTGAGAACTATCACACCCTGAAAAAAGAGATTGAGGAGGATATAAGAAAATGGAAAGACAACCCTTGTTCCTGGGTAGGAAGAACCAATACAGTGAAAATACTGCCATACTTTCAAAACTGCTATACAGATTCAATGCAATCCCGATTGAAATCCCAACAGTATATTTCACAGAACTAGAGGAAACAATCCAAAAATTCATTTGGAACCAAAAGAGACCTAGAATAGCAAAAGCAATTCTAGGCAACAGAGACATGGCAGGAGGTATCACAATCCCCAACTTGAAACTATATTACAAAACCACTGTGATAAAAACAGCATGGTACTGGCAAAGAAACAGACCTGATGATCAGTGGAATAGATTAGAAGATACAGAAACAACTCCAGACATACTCAGCTACCTCATCTTTGACAAAGGAGCCAACAATCCTCACTGGAGGAAAGATAGCCTCTTTAATAAATGGTGTTGCAAAAACTGGATTTCAACTTGCCAAACATTAAAACTAGACCCCTATCTTTCACCATGCACTAAACTAAAATCAAAGTGGATTAAAGATCTAAATATTAAAACAGAAACACCAAACTTGCTGGAAGATAAGTTAGATAGAACTCTCGAAGACACTGGCATAGGAAAAAACTTTATGAACAAATCCTCAGCAGCATGGCAACTAGCACAAAGAACAACAATTGGGATCTCATCTTATTAAAAAGCTTCTGGAGCTGGGGATTTAGCTCAGTGGTTCTGCCACCTGCCTTGCAAGTGCAAAGACCCGAGTTCCATCCCCGGTACCAAAAGAAAAAAAAAGCTTCTGCACTGTAAAAGAGACCACCAACAGAGCTAAGAGACAACCTACAATGTGGGAAAAAATTTTTACCAGCTGTTCCTCAGACTAAGGTCTACTATCTAAAATATTAAAGAACTCAAAAAAATCAGACCCTCAAATATAATGACCCAATTCAAAAATGGGGATGTGAAATGAACAGACATTTCTCAAGGAAGTAAAAGCAGCAAATAAACATATGAAAAAATGTTCAGCATCACTGGTCATTTGAGAGATGCAGATGAAATCAATGCTGAGATTCCACCTCACCCCAGAAAGAATGGCTGCTATCAAGAAATCAACCAATAACAAATGCTGGCAGGGTTGTGGGGAGAAAGGAACCCTTCTCCATTGCTGGTAGGAGTGCAAACTGGTGCAACCACTGTGGAAATCAATATGGAGATACTTCAAACAACTAGGATTGGAAGTCCCATTTGACGGAGCTATTCCTCTGCTGGGTATCTTCCCAAAAGAAGTAAAAGAATGGGCCGGGGATTTAGCTCAGTGGTTCCGTCGCTTGCCTTGCAAGCGCAAGGTCCCAAGTTAGATCCCTGGTACCAAAAAGAAAAAAAAAGAATTAAAAGAATCATACCATAGTGATATATGTTCACCCATGTTTATAGCAGCACAATTTGTTTGTTTTGTTTTGGTTTTTGGTACCTGGGATCAAACTCAGGTCCTTGCGCTTGCACAGCAGGCAGCGAAACCATTGAGCTAAATCCCCGGCCCAAGCACCACAATTTGTAATAGCTAAAACTTGGAAACAGCCCAAATGCCCATCAACTGGAGACTGGATAAAGAAGATGTGGTTTTTTTTATATAATGGAGTACTACTCAGCCATAAAGAATGTGAAACTAGAGACATTTATAGCTAAGTGGATGCACATTGAGGCCATACTCTTAAGTGAAATAAATAGGACACACATGTGTAAATACCAAATAGTTTCTCTGGTGTGAGAAACTGATAGTGTAAATAAGGATGAAAATGTATAATTGATATTGTGAAATAGGAAGAAAAGGTCTAAAGGAGTAGGGGAAGTGGGAT